GTTTCGGGCCTAGACCCTTCTTCAGAAAGGGTCTAGGCCCGAAACATCAGCCTTCCTGCTCCTCTGATGCTGCTTGGCCTGCTGTGTTCATCCAGCTCTATACCTTGTTATCTCAGATTATCCAGCATCTGCAGTTCCTACTATCTCTGTAGAACAGAAAATCCTGGCAAGCAAAAAGATCATCTCAGTGAATCCTGTGCAGCCATTGAGCTGCTTCCTCAGTTTTTTTTTGTCCTTCCACCCATAACAAAAAATGTTTTTCTGTCATTTATGTCTGTTTGTATGTGGATTAGTGGAACAGGAGTTTAGAAGAGGGTAAAAAGTTTACCTAGGGAAGTTATATGTTAATAGTTCGTTGTTGTTTACCCATGGCTAGAATCTATTTATTTGTGATAACTAATAGGTCTACATAAATACAAAATCCAGGTCCATCTTTTCTGTTAGCCCCATTCTACCTGAAATGTAAATCAACTCTTTGCATATTTTGATAGATGTTTTAACTTTTGTGAATGTCCTTGGGAATCATGGGGCTTAATTTCCAGCATTCAACCCAGCAAGGTATGACACTATTGTATTTACATAATAAAAGAATGGTAGGTGGAGAAGAGATGCTGATTAGGGACCTCAAAGGGGATTTATGTAAGGTGGCAAGGGGCATGGATATGCACTAAATTATTACTTTGATTTTTGTTTATCAAGGAAGAAGTTGCTGGACAGGAAACTAGATTAGTAAATAATTGGGGTCAGAAGCAAATATATTTTCTCATTTAAAGTACACAACAGTTCAGGAAAGTAGCCGTGAGACATCAAACCCGGAGTTAAAAAACCAAAAGAACTGCAGATACTGTAAATCAGGAACAAAAACAAAGTTGCTAGAAAAGCTCAGCAGGTCTGGCAGCATCTGTGAAGGAGAAAACAAACCTGGAGTGCTTGTTTAGAAATTTGCAGATTATTAACAGCCGTGAAAATCTAAATTCTCAATGTTGTGAGTATTCATGCAAGAAGACTCCAGTTCACAGGAAACAAAGGGGGTTGGGGAGTTGGAGGGTAGAAATTAAATCAAAATGAAAGATTTGATATTCAGGGGTAATTTCTCCAGACTTAAGTTTTTGTAATGGATAGTGTTCAGGAAATTGGATAAAACTTTGTTTGCTGTGTGTTTTAAGACGTTTCTAACTGTGTTCTATACTTATTTTTTTTTGTGGAATAAACCTCTGCTCTGTGGAAAAGTCAGTAGCCTTGTGTGACTACATTTAAGTGAAAGACCTCCACATTAATTAAAATAAAGAAAACTTATGATTTATCAGCCCAGATTTCATTTGGGATTTGACTTATCTAGTAATACCAGCAATTGGGATCATAATGAAAGAATGTGCAGGGCCACACAGAGGCAACATGCTGACTTACTGAATGAAAGGTATACATGTGAACATATGCAGGCACATGGTGAAGTTGATTCTATGTGTGTTTTTTAAATGGAAATTGAATAGTTAGTTGAAAAAAAATGGAGGGAGGGAAAATGCCACTGCAGGTTTGATAGGCCAAATGGCTGTTTGTGTTCCAGCATTCTATAATGTCATGCCACATTTTGGTAACAATAAGAAGTTTAAGGGATAGAAGTTCATTAAGAAATTTAATAATAAAATAAAGCATTTTTAAAAGTCCCACAATTAATTCAGTAGTGTATCATACCAGCAGCTAAATTTCACAATTGAGTGCTCTTTTGGAGAGGTTGCTGCATTGGACCACATAATCAAGAGATCAGGAGCAGGGATCAGCCTGCTTTCAACAGGTTTTGCTTCGATCAAATCTGATTAAATATATAGGCGAAACTCCTCAACGGGAGGAGGGAGGCTTTAACTCTTTCCTCCCAACACATATTTCCCCAGAACAGGCTGTCAGATTCTCTCAGAATGGCAACAAGATAACATTCAATTTAAACTGGAATAACAAGCAATGAATGAGCCATTTCTTATATAGCCCATTCTCTAATTCATTCATTTCAATAACAACAGTTTCTGTCACCAAAGTTGAAAGTTACACACAATGGATAACTAATATGTATCAAATTAAACTTCAGCCATGTACAAAAAAGACAGTTTTGCTCAGACTTTTACATAATGATGTATGAAATCTACTTTACCAAAACTCAAAGTAAGAATTAAAATTATTTAGAAAACAGAATTTCTCAATTTGCATCCAAATCAACTTTTTCATGAAAATTTACAGAATGAATGGTAGCCTGTCGGTGACTTGGCTCATTAAAATATTGCAGTCGTTTTGATGTTATTTTAAACAAAATGGGCTCTACTCTATGTTCTCACAGTAAAGCAAATGGGTTTTCTGACACGTGGTCATCCTTACTCAGAAGCATGTCACTTATCAGGCAACTCAATAACAGAGTTAATACTTAATATAAAAAACAGTATACAGCAAATAACCAAAATACCAAACACACATATTGTAAAAGACACTCTGTACACTGCCACAGGAAGACATTATGTCAACACTTGTTCCTATGCTACAAAGAAATTATGCTGAATTGAGCTAAATATTGCAAGTTTAACTTTGGCCAAAATGTGACACGTCCTTCAGTTTTTAAAATCAGTTTTCCACTTTTTGATATCCAAATCTAGATTGTTTGAAGATTATTGATGTGCTCTTTTGTTCATCACCTTGGTTGAAAAATAATTAAAGAGCAACACTGTAGATGGTAATATCACTTGCTTCTTGAGATAGGCATCAGCTATTTCATGGCAGTTCAAATCTCTTCTGTGTAAACTGCAACTAATTCCCTGAATCAGTGGCAACATGATACCAAATACTGTAGATTAAATCCTAATCCACAAAAACCATTTGTCCAAGAATCATTCTTGATCAACGATGGCCACTGTCAAACAAAAAGAAGAAATGGTTAATTCACTTAAAATTTTCATTCAAGTTATTGTAGTCAATAATACAAGCTCAAGCCCTTACAAATGATAAATCAAATAAAGTTATCTTTAATGACAGCCAGGAAATGTTCTGGATATAAAAGAATTTGTAGGGAAGGGAAATTTTCCTAGAACTGTTCCTGCATTATTAAAAAATTATGTTTTAAAATATCAGTTATATTGCATTTATTTAGATTCTCAAATGGCTTAGTTATCTAGAAAAGACTTTGGAAATCCTTTTCAAAGAGACCAAACTACACTTGTATGGCTGGGCAATACTGTTCTATGTTCTGGGCTTGTTTAGTTGTTTGCCAAGCTGGTAGGTTGGTTCGTTTTATGTTCTATGGGAAGGTGAGATTAGTTTAGCATCATGGCATCATGGTCAGTATAGAGTTGGGGGGCCAAAGGGCTTGTTCCTCTGCTGTGTTGTTCGATATATCATTTCTGATGCAAATATTGAAAATTTATTTAACTTTGGCACATCTAAATAGATCTATTCATCCATAGTCAAAATGAACTTCAAGAGGTTCTTCATAGTTTATTTAGGACTTCTTTACCTTCCTGTGGATAGCTCAGTGTTAACGGGATGATGAGCAGGCTCACAGTTCAGAAGATTCTTTAACCACAAACATTTTTCCAGTGTGAGAAGAAATCCTGAGTACACAAAGGGAAAACAAAAATGAGCTGCAAAACCGCAGAAGGAAGATGCTTACAATTTAGTTTTATGAGGTTTACCCTTATTACCTTGATGGGGTTTTTCATGCTCCATGGCATTTTCCAAACGGCATGAACCACTGGAGGCTACATCTGACGTGGAATGAAGTCGGGCTGAAAAGAAACAGGAATACCGCAAGATAAAAATTCAAGTTTCGAGAAAATATTTGCAGAAATGCGACGTTTATAAATATTGCATCCATTATTCCCAGATGTTTCACTTCTAAACTTACTTCTATAATATTGATTCCGTGCTGCGAGCAAACAGCCAGCTGAAGGAACAGATGCCATGACGGTATGAGAATTGGATCTGAAAGGTTTTCCGGGAGAAACAAAAGATCCTGAAAACATCAAACAGAAAACATGAACCGGTTTTTAAAAAGCTGCCAAAATATATTGCACTACTCGCGCTCGCAGCTCAAACAAACCTGTACCCATCAAAGAGATAATAGCAAATAAAACTCAGGATTTAAGTGAGAACGGTGTTATGCTTACACTTATCGGGACACAGGAAGGGAATCACTGCAATAATTTGATCGCAGCACCGTCTCAGAACACAAACTTTCCTGACACCAAGCAACGACTGACTTGCTATTGAGCAGCTGGCTTTTATATATCAACTGATGCTCAGCAACTTCCGCATTGGACTGTGTGCAGTCTGGCACGTTGACTTCGCTGAGTTGCAGTCAGCTGGAAACCCAAGGAAAAAAAACAACCAGTTCAGACCAGAAATAGCAGGACGCGGGCCAAGTACCAAAGTCCAATGAGCTCAGAGTCCGACTCATAAGCGGCTGAGGCCGAGGGCACGGAGCCAGCGCTAGGAAACTGAGCAGTTTGCACAATCATCGGCCTCCTCTGCTAGTACATATTATATTGAAATTGCATTGCTTTCCGGTTTTGTCTCTAGGGTCCCGCAATAAGAACAAACTGTGGAAATATCAGCTCTGTTTATGCAAAACATACGCAGAATGCGTGACTAACAGGAGGAAGGAGTGGCTTGCCGCTCACGTTAGTCTAGCCTGATGCAAAGTGACTGAGCATACTGCAATACCTTTATCAGCAGATTTTTACGTCGCTTTAACGACCCTTGCAGTCTCCAGATGCAGTAGTTGGCTCAGTCAAGCTGCATAAAGCTAAATGAGAGTTGATTACGTTGTTAATCTCAGAGCTGTTAACTTAATGTCAATTATGACTCGTAAAAGCAACAGTTAGACACGCAAGTCCAGAGTCTACCTAGTGCTCCTGGCAAAGTGGGCAAACGGTGTGAGGAAATGAGTAGTAGATCTGCTGCAAATACAAAATGTTCCACATGCTGGAAATCTAAAACAAAAGAAAAATCTAGAAACATTCAGCAGATCAGCCACCATCTGTGGAAAGAAAAAGTGTTGATATTTCAGATTGATGACTTTATTCACAAAGGGATGGTATATCTGCCACACTGGGCCTACTGCATTTTTCACAACGTTTTCAGTAGTGACATTGTGAGGAAATAAAAACCAATAAATTCAAGTAGATTACTGGTTGAGGCTGAAACCAACCAATCACAAACTCTGTGGTCATTCCTCTGCAAATTATACTGCTTTGGATACTGTTGGGGTGAATGGCCTCTCAGGGGAAAGTAACAACAGTCAAATTTGTTGCACTATGGTTGGCTCTACTGCACAGGAAAGGAAGAATGTGTGGGAATGCTATAGTAATGGAGGATGCATTCATAAGGGGATAGGACAGATGTTTATGTGACTGCAAATGAGATTCCAGGCTTCAAGGGTCAAGGGTGTCTGGAAGTGGATGGTGGACATTCTGGAGTGGTCGTGGTACACATTGGCATCAATGACATAAGTTAAAAAAAGGAATGAGGTCTTAAAAGCTGAATATAGAGAGTTAGGAAGCAAGTTAAAAAAGTAGGACCTCAAAGATAGTAGTTTTGGGATTACTGCTAATACTGTGTGTTATCAGAGTAGAAATAGCAGGATCTATTGGATGAATATGTAACTTGACAGATAGAATCCTGGGCAATAGGGACCTGTCCTGTGGTAAATGGGACCAGTACAAACTGGAGAAGTTACACCTGGGCAGAACCTGGACTGATGTCATGGGGATGTATTTGCTCGTGTATTTGCATAGGATTTAAACTAAAATGGCTGGGGCCTGGGAGCATAAACAGGAAAACAAACTAAAGAAACAAGGGCAAAAACAACAGACAGAATGGGAAGATAAGAAAAGTGAAAGGCAGCAAATTCAAGGGACATAATCAACAGGGCCACAGTGCAAAATAATGTGAATGGAAGTAAGAATGTTAAAAAGACAAACCTTACTGCCTTTGTCTTATTGTGCGGAGCATTTACAATAGAGTGCATGAGTTGGTCATGCAAATAGATATAAACTGGTATATAATATGGTATATGCATATTATAATAGATAAATGATATACTTGGGATTATAGAGACATGGCTGTGGAAAGAGCAGGGCGGGAACTGAATATTCAGGGGCATTCAAATTTTAGGAAGGAAAAAGAAAGAGATGTGGTTATAGAGGAAATTAATGCAAATTGAGGAATGATATCAGCTATGGTGAAATGGAATCTGTATGGGTAGAACTTATAAACACTAAGGAGTGTACCTAGATCACCAGACTGAAGTGGTACTGTTGGGGAAGGCATTAAACTGGAAATTACAGATGCAAGGAATAAAGATATAGCTGTAATTACGGCTGATTGTAATCTGCAAATGGATTGGGCAATCATATCCATAACAACACTATAAAGGAGGAATTCCTGAAATGTGCACAGCTTAGTTTTTTTGGATCAATACATTTAGGAACCAATTAGTAAACAGGTCATTTTAGACTCGGTTTATGGGATATTTGGCAATCTAGCTGTGCAAGGCCCTTATGGATGTGTGTCCATAACATGACTGAATTCTTTGTTAAGTTGGATGGTGATACAGTTGATTCTGAGATGAGGGTCCTGAATCTAAATAAAGAAAACTATGATAAGATGAGCCATGAGCTGGCTATGATAATTGGGGAATGTTACATAAAGGGATGATAGTGGCTAGGCTACAGCAAGCATCTAAAGAGTCCATGCAGGACATGGAACAGTTGTTCATTTATGTATAAAACAAAAAACAAAGTGGGAAAGATGGCCTGACTTTTCCTGACAAAGGAAATTAGGGATCACATTAGATCCAGGGAAGAGACATACAAATTGTCCAAAAAAAGCAACAGACGTGAGGATTGGGAGCAGTTTAGATTTCAGCAAAGGAGGACAAGTGGATTCATTAAGAGGGGAAAAATAGAGTATGAAGGTAAGGTTGCAGGGACCATACAACTGAATATAAAAGCTTCTATAGGTATGTGAAGAGAACAAGATTAGTGAAGACAAATGTAGGTCCTTTACGGTTAGAAACAGGGGCAGTTATAATGGGGAATAAATGATGGCAGACCAATTAAATATGTATTTTGATTCTGTTTTCACAAAGGAGGAACAAATGACATCTCGAAAATGTTGGGGAACATAGGGTCTAGTGTGAGGGAAGAATTGAAGGAAACCAGTATTAGTAGGGAAATGGCATTGGGGAAATTGACGGGACTAAAGACCGATAAATTCCTGAAATAACTGTAGAGGCCAGTTCCTGTCACCAAGTCACCCTTTATTTACAGGTGCACAGTACACTGGCTGTGGCCAGCCAGCTTGGAGTCAATCCTCAGGAGGAGATTCTAATCTCCTGATTATATTGGTCAGCCAAGGGTTTCCTGATTGACCCAGGGCAACAACCACAATCAAGAACCTCATAGTAAACAAGGTCCATCTGGTTCCAATCATCACGTCCCCCACCCAACTCCGGAGATGTAGGCCTGGTTGTTCATTTCTAGCTTCTCTTGCGATGCTTTCACCCCAGGTCCAGTTCCTCCGACTTGGACACAGGTGGCGTGTACTGGACCGTGGCCCATCTCTTGCGTCTGAACGTCTCAGAAGTGTCCCCTCCTCTTCTTCAGGTGGCAACGGTATCAGGGCTGCATCCATTTTGGACTCTGAGATTTCCTCAACACTAGATGAAGGTGGGCAGCACCTGTGGTTTCTGCTGGGCTTTCAGGCTGTTCCGAGGGGCAGGTATGTTTTGCTCTTGCCCCGTTTGCGAGGTAATGGCTTTCAGGTGATCCACATGTCATCTACTCGACCTTTGTACGTCAGGACCTGACCTCGTATCAACCTCACCTTGCACCCATATCGGGCCATTCCTATGGTTCTGGCACCAAACTTTATTCCCTGAATTGAATTGTCACTCTTGCTTAGAGGAGGCACTTGGCCAGCATTGGCGTTCCTGCTACTGTTTCACCCTCCCCCCGTTACCAGTCTTAAAAAATCAGGTTTAACCTGGTGAGGTATCTTCTACCCATCAGCAACTCCATTGGAGCTATCCCTGTTGTTGCGTGAGGGGTGGTCTTATAATCCAACAGGAAATGGGACAGTTTGGTATCAATCGACGCTGTAGGCTGCTTTTTTAAGGCTGCGCTCAATGTTTGGACTTCTCTTTCCTCTAGACCATTGGACAATGGATAGTATGGAGCTGTCCTTATGTGCCGAATGCCATTGGATTTTAGGATATGTTCGAATTTCCTGCTGGTAAATGACGTCCCATTTTCTGTGACCAATACTTCGAGTATCATGAACAATGCTCGCAGCTGCTCAATTGTCATCTCTGAGTTTGCTGAACGAAATTTATGAATGACCAAGCCCATGAAGGGACCAGCATAGTCGACATGCAACCAAGTCCAGGGTTTATCCAGCCATTCCCATGAATTTGGGAGTGCTACTGATGGCAGTTTTTGTCCTTGTTGGCATTCTGGGCACTGCTCCACCAATGCAGCTATGTCAGCAACCAGCCCTGGCCACCAGAAATAGCTTCTTGCAAGCATCTTCATCTTGGAAACCCTTGGATGACCGTGGTGGAGTATGTCCGGTATCTGGTGGCGACCTTTACTTGGGACAATCACCCTTGCTCCCCATAGTAATATGCCGTTCTCTGCGGTGATCTGGTCTCGCTGGGTTCAGAAAGGTTCCAATCCTGGTTGTGATGGCCCTTCTGTCTCCCCCATTACCACCAGCTGTTTCAGTTTCGCCGGGACAGGATCTTTTTGTGTCCACAGTTGGATATTGTCCATGGTGACTGGAAGGATGTCTAGAAAGTTTAAAACCAAAACAGGCTCTTCCAGGGGAGGCACCACCGTTGGAGTTTCTAACACTGGGAGGCGGCTCAAGGTATCCGCATTAGCCACGTGACTTCCTGGACAGTGTTTTAACTTGGATGCACTTAGAATAAGGACCAAATGCTGAATTCTACTGGAAGTTGTGGACGGCCCTGCCTTGTCTTCCTTCAGTAGCCCTAGTAGGGATTTGTGATCTGTTGTTATGACAAATTCTGATCCATAAAGGTACTGGTGGAACTTCCTCACACTAAAGGCGACCACTAAGTCTTTCTTCTCTATCCGGGCATACTTGCATTCTCCATCAGCCAGAGTCTGGGAAGAATACACTATCGGGCGTTCGTCTCTATTGTGCCACGAGTGAGCCAACACCACCCTGATACCATATGGGGAGGCATCGCATGTCAGCACCAGATCTCTGTCAGGGG